TAGAATTCGTAATTAAAAAGTATATATGGTAGTTTTAATAAAAGTATATGGATTTGTAAAACAAGTAAAACATTAATTTATTATTATTATATATTTTTATCGCTTAAATTAAAGAAAATTATGTATAATCGATAAAAATGAATAATAAAATATAGGCAGGCAACAGTATTTACTGGAAATTGTATGAGAAGTTGCCTAAGTCTAATAAGTTTTCATTGAAGAATTACTCTAATCTGTCAAAATAAAAAAAATCCATTTAATAATAGCGTGAAGTTAAAATGTATAAAAAAAGGATCATTACTTATATTTTCATTTTTGTTCGAAAGAAAACATAGAATGAATGATTAAAACTGATTTCCCATCAGTAAGTTACAAAATTGCGGGTCCAACCACATATAATAATCAAAGGCAGAAATCTTGAAATCTAGTCCTTGCTGAATGAACATTTAAGAATAAGGGATATTAAAGAACATGGTAAAATGATAATTTATTGTTGATTTAAAACCTTTCAAGTTACTGATGTCTACTATTTGCAGCATTACGGTTATTATTACAAAAATAAAGGTAATTTTTCTTCTTATTGTATATCTATCCATTTATTTCTTTGATTTAATTTCCACTTTGCTACTGAAATTTTTTATATAAGTTTCACTGTTTTTTTGCTAGTATTTGTTCAATTTTCAACACAGCAACTCCGGTTGCTTAATGTATTGTTTTTACCTACTTTTTTTTGAAAAATAGTAAAATGTATACGTATATTTGATATGCCAAAATTTCAAAATATCCCCCTAAAATGCACGAATTATCCGCAGCTAGCGCTAGTATCGCTTTTGCTTCCCTTTCCATGACTTCGCACGGAGCGAATAGTTAAATCGACAGTTTTCCGAATATGTAGTGTTTAAAAATCTAATTTTTGGCCAAATTAAAAATAAAGGTCTAACTTAGGTCACCTTACTATTGAAAATTAATAAATTTATTATTTTCAATAAAAACCAATCATGTAAAATAACCCCCTTTTATTTCATCCCAAAGGTGCCGTGTAGAATTATTTTAACCTCGATGTCAAACAAATAATAAAAAAAAATGTAAAACGACCTAAGTTCAACCTTTACTTGGAATTTGGTACACTCAGAATATTTAAATATTGTATATTTTTCAAAAAGTGTAGATTTGAAATTTTCTCTTGGTAAATTGAAACATACATTAAAAGAAGACTTTTTAAATGGCAAACTGCGCAATATCATTAAGTAATACGACAGGATAATTTTATTATATAGCATAATTTCATTATACACGTTTTTCCGTTCTTCTATTAGCAATTTCTCACCTAATATAAATTGTTTTTCATTATTTTTGTTTGTTATACTATGCCAAGTTTTGTAACACCCTAGTTAAGATTATATGTATTTTAAGTTAATACCTATTATTTTAGATATAATTTTAGTATTAGTTTTTCCTTTTCCATTTTTTTTTTTATTGAGGTTGAGTGGAAGAGCAGCTTCTATATTTGCTTATGCAAATCTGAAAGCTGAACTTTGCCTTTTGGCTAATTATTTTTAATAAATTATACTATTTTAATTTTGTAATTTTCACATGCCAATAAAACCATATTTATTTATTTATTTATTTATTTATTTATTTATTTATTTATTTATAAGTCACTTTCTTTGAAAAAACATGTCAAAACGAATTTGGACCAAAAATGGCGTCTAATTTAACTCTAAATCAACCCCGAAAAATCAATAATTACTTCATGTAATGTAATAAAGATGGTGCTCCGATCGATAATATTTTGACTATTTGATTATTTCCGTTTATATTATGTGTGTTCACGGGGGATATACGAGATGATAATACTGCCTCTGATACTGTTTATATGATACAATTGGAAACGACCTTTTTTCATCGGCACTCTTTTTTCGCCGGTGACCTTTTGACATGCGCCTATTTGTTATATGATGTATGATTATCGGTTATTTATCAACTAGAAGTATAGGAAATTAGTACATTGTGAATGATAATATCATTTTAATGCTATTTTTGAAACTAGTTCAAAAGTTGCATTTAACGATACTCAATGTTTCATTTTACCGTCAGTTTATGTTTACAAAGCTCAGTTTCTATTCGAAAGTAAGAGAAACAGTCAAAATAAAATGCGAAAAACACTTTTTATCAATTTCATTTATGTCAACTGAAAGCGACAATTGCTGAAGACGTAACAAATAAATTAGGTCGAGAAATAAAAAAATCAATACTATAAGTAACATACCATATATTATACCTGTTAAAATAAATCAAAAATAAGAGAACATATCGTTGACGTATATACTTTTCCATCTGTGATTAGTGATTACTAATTGCAAATTACGTATGAACATGCTTCTGCGCAAAAAAAAACCATTATTTCAAGTACTTGTATCATTAAAGTCCATTAAATTATTATTTTTATAAATTTGCTAATCTTTGCACTTTAAGTTTCATTATATGGGGTATCCAGACATTTTAATCCTCGTCCTCTTCTATTTAAAATTATCTCAGGTGCCATATATTCCGAGTAAAATTTTTCTAATTTTTCAACCATATTTTTAAAAAAAATGGGTTGAATATGAATTTTTTCAACAAATATTGGATTTTCATCGAGCTTGGATTTTCTTTGAGCTATACCTAGCTGTCCTTGAATCTAAAAGTATATAAAATCATTATTAGAAAATCAAACATAAAAAGAATATTAATATTGTAGTATCATTTCTAGCACATTTCTTAAAAATCATGAATTATTTTAACATATTGAAATTTTTCACCTGGTAAAAGTAGTTATGGTTTTCTTTTAAATGAATGTCACCATCTTCTATTTTTAAGCATGGAAATGGGTTTGAATATTAGGTAATGTGCGTCAATAATGTCAAATTATGACAATTCGCTGAAAACGTCAACTTTTTATTTAGATTTTAATGTGCAAAAGCCTACCTACTTTGGATATTGATCGTAGAAAAAATATATTCAGAATAATGAAACATTATTATTAAATAACAAGTTTTTTTATTGTCAAATTTAATACGTAATATTATTTTTTAATTGCAAATATTTGAATGTTAAAATTATAGCGTTTAATTTTTTTATTCAATGACGAACTCGAGAGTGGTAGAAAAAAAATACTACCTACCTTTAATGCAGGAAGTCGATGACAATTTATCCAAAAATAAAACTGATTAAAATGTACAATGAAACTCACTAGGACACTTGGCACAAATAAATCAATTTTCTATTAAAGAAAATAACACTTATTAAAAACAAACAGCACAATAAAACACTTCAGAAACGTGTGATGTAATTTTGAAAACTAAATATCCGTAAGCTTGTTTGTAAATTTATAGACTCTTAACTCCTTCCATCAGCCTTCATTAAGTATATTAAAAGTCGTGACGTCATATTGGCACAGATATACGGTAATTTGTTATTGACAATCAGGGACATGTTTCTAGGAAATAACTACCTAAGATAAGATAAATGAATGTTAAATACCTACTCATAATATCTATTGTAGGGTTTTTGTACTTTAATAGGATAAATATTTATGCGGGCCTGGAAATTCCAGGAAATGACAGTCAAAATTACCCAAAAACATTAGGTTAGTACCAACATCAGATAACAGATAACTTCGGTATTTAACCAATTAATCACAATTAATATTCTTGAACATTCAAATGACAAAAACTTCCATCTTTAACCAATGAGAATATAGTTTTCATTCGATACTTCAAAATCACAATTTATTAATTAGGTAGAATAGTTTTAAAATATATTGCGAATTGCGACACGTCAAGCGTCCCACTCCGACTCAATGTGACGTAATTATTGTGGCAATATATTTTGAAAGGACTCTATATTCGTGACTTGAAATTATTTGTTTTAGGAAATATTTATATTTAATGTGAGGCAAGATATCGTTTTTGTTGTTACCATCTGCATCTACATTCTTTACTTTGGTCCAGGAAACAAAGTCAATTTTCGATAAAAATAAAATGTAATAGGTAGGTAATACTTTATGAAACAGTACAATAAAAGTATTGAAATAAAGTATGCTCATACTCCAAAATGAGTCCTAGAGTTAACATTTTTATAATATTATAAATGGCATATAAAACGATTGGACCGTTTTCACAATCACGAAATAATTTTTTTTATTTGGTAAAATCCCGGCAATTATTGAAAAATAGATTTTATGTTCAGGACTATTATTATGATCCTTCGAACTCAGTCTACTAAAAACCGGTTTATAATACAATATCCCCTAATAGCTAGTCGGTCGATATTTATAGTTACTTAAAGATTTCTGTAATAATTTGCACTAATTCAATCTCTAGTGGGTAGGTAACAGTACCTCCTTGATTGAATCTAAATTGACATAATTTTGTTCAGAAATTTCTAGGAGACGTTGTCCTTAAGAGAGTTGAATCGATTTAACAATTTATACGTTACTTATGACTTATATGGGACATTATTAATTGCTCGTGCTATATAAATTAATAATTATATTTCGGTACAGCCCTTGCTTTATCTGTAGAATATCTCGTTTTACACCCGCGAATGAAACAAATCCTGATTTTTATGGTTTTTACACTCATGTTCGGTATGTACTTTTTTTTACAATGTTCTGTACTTTTTTACAAATATTTGTAAAAAAACACTTATTTACAAAAATATTTTTTCAAACTTCACATTTTCTTATCTCTTGATATATGGCAGTACAAATAAATTAAATAATAATTGTTTATTATGCACTTAGAATGTCTATAGATACAAAATTAAATTAAATATTCTATCAAATCATATGATCATCATATTTATCCGGAATAACATGTAAAGTGCAAACTAAAATTTGATACGGGGCAACTCGACATGCAACAGGTCACGTATGCCTTTCAAAGACAAAGTTCTAATCTAAATCAACTAACCAAGCAATAAAATTTTCGCGATATAATGTAATATGTTTGTTGTAATGCAATAGAAACTAGTCGCTCTTATTTATTTTGTGTTGTACAACCTGTGAAAAATTAGCACCGATTGAGCCGCTTCTAAATTTTAAGTGAGTTGTTATTTTCACTTTCAATTTTCGATTTTATCTATGTAGGTCAACGACACGATTAGTTTAAATTTAATTATAACAGTTAATGTTTTCAATTAGCATGCTGAATAAAACGTAAGGGCAGGTCAGGGTTTACTATAAAACTACATTCAAATATTTTGTGCCACAAATATGCACAAGCATTTCATTAAATAGAATACCGGGTACAATAAACTGTTATAATTATCCAAAGTTAATTATTCGCTTTTTCTCAATATTCTCTTTTGCCACATAGTTTAGTTCGTGTTTTAGCAACCGTGTTTAGTGTTTCTTTTTGGCATGTATATACGGGGCCGCCTATAAAATTTACCCCCCCAGGAACTAGCTGCACGGTAGGCACAATTTGCTTACTTAGTAGTCTGTGAAGAGTATTATTTTTAGTTCAGTGGATAGAGAATTTTTGTAACAAAATCTCATCAAATCTCATCAAATTTTAAATCACTTTTAAACATGTCCGTCCGATGTCACGTTTCTTGTTCGCACGATAAGTCAAAATTGAAAAATGATATCGACCTAAATATTTCAGGAAAAATCAAGCTCTATAAGGGGAAAAGCTTATTGGTTTTGAACAGAGTCGGACTGGCTAAATTTGGCCCCATCGGCACCACGAATAATTGGCCCCCCCATCCTACTCTCTTTGACCAACTCGATTATTTATACAGGGTATTAAAAAAAAGTCACAAAATAAAACGGGGGTAGTATGGGCCAAAATATGCAGAAAAGTCTTAATAAACATATGTCCGCAAATGAATGGTTTCAGAGATAGGGAGTGTTTTGTATCATTTTTTGATTATCTTTTTTCATTCTCAAAAACTTGCTTTTCATATCGGAGTCTACCGATGTTTTTTCATAGATACTATTTGCAGTTATTATTTTGTTGTGGGTGAATAATTTTATAAATTTTCGTTATGCCTGTTTACACTAATATTGAATTAGCTGACATGCATTTTATGTACGGTCGTGCAAATGGCAATGCGAGGGAAGCGCTACGTCAGTATATCGACGCTTTCCCTAATCGCCACATCCCTTCAGTTCGTGTGTTTGGAAGATTGCACCAAAGATTGCGTGATACAGGTAAATTTGGGAAACAGTCACATGATTCCGGGAGACCAAGGTCGGTGTCCACCCCTGAGGCAGAAGAAGCAATTTTAGCACGAGTAGAAGAGAATCCAGAAACTAGTGTGCGAAGAATATCAGCGGAGGTAGGAATTGGGGCTCCTCTGGTTTGGAGAATCCTCGACGAGCAGCAGCTTTACCCGTACCATCTTCAACGAGTGCAAGCTCTGAATGCACCTGATTATCAAGCACGTTTGGAGTTTTGTCGATGGTTTCTGAGAAATGATGCTGAGGATCCCAATTTTATTGCACTAATTCTTTTTACTGATGAGGCAGGGTTTACACGAAATTTACACGAATCCAGGCATCAAGTTCGTTTTTCATTAAACATTTGGATGGGTATTTATGGCGACTGGTTACTAGGTCCGATTGTACTACCTAACCGATTAACGGGAGCTGACTACTTAAACTTTTTGCAGAACACATTGGGTGATCTTTTAGATGATATTCCTTTAATACAAAGAAATCAAATGTGGTTCCAGCACGATGGTGCTCCGGCGCATTTTTCAGTTACCGTAAGAGAACATTTAGACGGATCCTTTGGTCGAAGATGGATAGGAAGGGGCGGACCTGTGCCATGGCCTGCAAGATCGCCTGATTTAAATGCGCTTGACTTTTTTCTTTGGGGACACTTAAAAAATTTAATGTACGCCACTCCTGTGAATAACCTCGAAGAGCTGCAGCAACGAATAGAGCAGGGATGTCATCGAATCCTAGCCAATGAGGGTGTTTTGGAAAGAGTCCGACAGTCCTTTCGGAGGAGATGTCGTAGCTGCATTGAAATGGAGGGAGGGCACTTTGAACATCTCATTTAACTCTATGTTGTTATTGATTGTTTATAAATATCATTGTTTTTTTATAATAATAAAAAATTGTTATAAACACAAAATGGTCCGTATCTCCGAAACCGTTAATTTGCGGTCATATATTTATTAAGACTTTTCTGCTTATTTTGGGTCATACTATTCACCATTTCATTTTGTGACACTTTTTTTTAACAACCTGTATAAAGGTGGTTAATCACATTTAAGACAAAAATATTTAGAATTTATATATTAAAAAGTAGTGTTCAAATAGTAGATAGTCCAAAATCATGAAATTTCAAGTACTTTGCGACCGTTTCAAATAATCTAAAAAAACTGTAAAATTATGCGTTTAAAACATAATATAAATATAATAAATAAAAATAAAGGTTAATTTTTATATAAAACATTTTTAGTTTTTTAAATAAACAACAAAACGAAAAAATTTTAGATATTAATACAAAAATAAATAAAAATAAAAGTAAAAAAGGAAAAAAATCACAACTTAACATTAAAAAAAAAACAGCTTCCATAAACAACAAATAAGAAAATTCTTATTACATAGTCAAAAATAGGAGGGCAAATAAGAAAGTACTATTTAACTAAATCTAACTAAAAATTTCTATCACAAAATATAACGTTGTCAACATACATAAATATTTAAAATAAACAGTTAGACATACAAAATCACAAAACAAAATAAAACTACCATTCTTAAAGAAGCTTAAAAAGTCAAAGCATTATAATAATTTTTTCTAGGTTAATACTATTTAATTTTTCCGTATTCATTAGTATTAGGGCCTGCAATAATTCTTGGCCTAATGAAGATATAAGTCTATTTTTAATTATTTTTAATAAAGAAAATACTCGTTCGCGTTCCACTAGGGTGCAAGACAAAGTAATTAAAAACTTATAAGCCATATACAAATTTGAAAAAGTGGATATATGCATATTGTATTCTCTTAAAATTTTAAAAGTACAGTGTACGCATTCTTTTGTTTCAGACTTATTTATGCAGAGGTCTGTTTTTACATTTTTTTTATTATCCGGGTATATTTGTGTGAAACTCAATAATTCATTTTTTAATTCTACATTATCGATCCCAATCTTTATGCAGTATTAGTAAATTTGGAGTCGCTTAATAAATCCAAGCTTTTAAAATTTCTGGAGTCAAGGTTTGAAAAATCTTCATAAATTTATTTGTTGGCATCAGATCTCTGACTTATACTTTGAATTGCCTGATTAATTACTGATTTAAATACTTCAACTTCAAATTTTTCTCATTGGATCGGTAATAACGGAATCTTCAGTTGTTTCGTCTATCATACGTTTCCTTTTTCTTAACCTTTAGTGGCAGCTCATGTTCAATTACAATATCTTTGTTTCTAATGGTCTTAATTTGATTTATATAATTTAAAAATGCATTCGTCTTTTTAACAATTAAAATTTGTCATATATTTCATTTAGCATTGCTTTAGATTTGTTACCAAATGGTATGCTTGGATAGAGTCAATACTTTATGTCGCAAGATAATTTGAGGCGGGAGTCACGTATTTAAAAAATTTTATCATGAAAAATGATATTAAAAGAGTTTCATATTTGCAGAGTTTTTTAAAAAACAAGTATCAACGTAGAACAAATTGTCTCAGCAGCCTAGACTACGTCTAGACGCACCAATGTTGCCAGTTTCCTAGATTTCGTTGAAGTATTGTAAACAATATTTTTATGATGGTGGTTTGATTTATATCTAATGCTTGACCGTTGGCTCCCAAAAGGGTTTGGCCCCGTCGGCAAATGCCGACTTGCCGACCGGGCCACCGACACTGGTTTTGAAAAAAAAAAAGGAATAAAAGTGGAGATGATCCCTATAGAGCTTGATTTCTACTAAAAATTTTATGTAGATATCGCTTTTCATTTTTGATTTACGATTTTTCTTTAATTTGAACCCCTCTCCAACCCCCATTTTTAAACAGATTTTTTTTTAAATCAAATGGCTTCTTCTTTTTCTCATAGAGCTTGATTTTTGCTAAAAATTTCAAGTTGATATCATTTTTCGTTTTTGAGTTAGGATTTTTTTTATTATTTAAACCTCCCTTATCTCCCTATTTTTAATAAAATTTTCTCAAAATCAAGGCTTTTTTCCCTTATAGAGATTGTTTTTTGCTTAAAATTTTCAAGTCGATATCATTTTTCGTTTTTGATTTATCGTGCAGACAATAAACGTGACATCGGATAAAGTAAACCTATAATACTCTTCACAGACTACTGTCTGAAGAGTAGAATAATATAATCAAGGCTAAATCAATAACATAATAGCCTAAAAAACAGGTACCCTAAAAGAATGATAAACAGCTCTAGACATTTCTTATTGCCACTCTTCTCAATATTTAGGATCCCATAAAAAATTACAATTACTAAATTGGGGTACAATAAAAATATAATAGTGGTAGCTCTTCATCTAACATCGAAACTCTTTAATTAAAAGAGAAAAACTTTCTATTACGGTAAGATAAATTTTTGAAATGTACTTTTGTTTAAAAAAAGTATTGTTGTCATGGAAAAAACTGAATTGATTTTTTAATCAATTTTTTTTTACAAACCTGCGAGTTCATATAGAAAAAAAGATCATATCGCAATACTTTTCTAATGATGTACCATATATAGTATATTCCCTTTTTAAAATAGAGGGGTTGGAGAAATGGAAGGGAAAGGGTTGACACATGACAGATGTCTGAATTTCCATTCCAATGAATACTGCCAAAACTTACAGGGTAGGCTGTTTTGAGTGACCCACTTTTTTTAATATTTTAACCCCTATTATATTCATATTTTTAATCAGATTTTTTCAAAATCAATAAGCTTTGTCCCCTTATAGAGTTTGTTTTTTTTTTTCTTAAAATTTTCAAGTCGATATCATTTTTCGTTTTTGATTTATCGTGCAGACAAAAAAATGTGATATCGGACAAAATAAACCAATAATACTCTTCACAAACTACTGTGTGAAGAGTAAAATAATATAATCAAGGCTAAAACAATAACATA